TACTTCTTTATATATATATATATATATATATATACATATATATATGTGTATATATATATATATCAGAATTTAAGAACTAAAATCCTAAATGTTTTAATAAAAATGATCATTTTCTTCTTTTTGTTAATAAGCACATTGTTTTAATATCAGTATTTGATACAACCACATAATTTCCATTTGAATTATCAGTGTTACTCTGCTACTGCTAGAAGGTTGCTGTGCATGGTGCGGATGGATGAAACAATGGGAAGGAAGGAAGGGAGGGAAGAAGGAAAGAAGGAAGAGCTAAAGTCTATGATTAAAACACTGCATAGTCATTTTCTCCACCTACTCCTATTTTCTAACTATAGTCATAACTCAACCCAGAGCATAGAACTGTGGCATTTAACACAGCAGTGAACAAGAACATTAGCCAGCTCTTGGCTACAGAGAAGCCTCAATGTAGAAGAGGTACTGAGCACATTTGTTACGTGAATTAATAGGAAAAAGGGAGGAGTATAGCCAACTTAAAAGCATTTTTGTTGGGCCGTAATTGGTGTTAACTTTCTGCATTACTCTGAAGATATTCCACCAGATTTTGCTCTGAGTTTCAGAGAAATCCATGAAGCAGACAGAAACCAGAGATCCTTGAAAGCTGAGTTTCAGATGATTGTTTATGAAAGAGAAAAGAGCAATAGTGGCATCATTCTGTTTGAAACTAAAAACTGTTCATTTGAGATCTAGTCTCTCCCAGTTGAGTCTGGGTTTGTATAAGTAATGAAATGTTGTTGGTCAATTAGAGATTATGGTTTTAATAGAATCCATAAAAGTCATATTCCTCTTCATTTAGTGCTCAGAATATTATATCTTTTCTGTGGATAACAATCTTGATTCAGAAGGCAGTAATTATATCAATTAAGTAAACTATTTTCTATCAACCTTCTGTTTCTAGTGGAGATAACAGGCATGAGAAGTGAGGGCCTGAAAGCCTTTCTACTGATACAGCATTGGTTTAGGTTAATTATAGTTTTGGTATGCTTCATTATCAAGGATATCAAAACTAAGCTGCCTGTATTAGACATAATTAAGGCTCAGGGTCTGTTTCCAAGGCTGGGATCAGGAACAGAGAGATCGAAATTTAATGTAAGAGTGAGATCATGCATAGGAATAGAAATTTAAATCTGATTGATGAGCCAAGATAGGACCAGAACAGGTAACTCTGGAGTAAATGCAGAAGCAGCAAGACTAAGGCTAACAAACCAGGGTGGGTCAAGCCAGAGGGGCAGGTGGTAGAAAAGAGAGGACCTCCTCTTCACTTTCTCTTTCTCCTCCTGCTCAGTATATCTGGAGGCAACTTTGGGTTGATGTAGCCTGTGAAAGCAGGTTATATCTTTTTATCAAGATCCTAACTCTTTAATGATTCTATTTCTATTATAGTTGATTTCCTTTTAATGTTATAGAAGCCCTTTTTAATGTTATTTTCTTAAGCACTAACAAGAGGCATATGACACTAAAGATTCATGAATGGTAGTGGATTTTTTTTTTTTTTACCAGTAAACATTTATTTCTCTATCTCTGAACTTTCAATGGAAAAGTAAACAGATTTTGCCCATAAAAATCTAGTATTTTGGAGCCAAATATTTTGAGGTTTCTTCTGTTGCCACTAAATAACTTTTTATTACAAAAGTTGATTCAAAAGATATCTTACATTAGTGGCAAAGAGTCAAATAAAGTAAGTTTGTTTTGCTGTACTAGATGGTTAAAATGCTAACAACGTGTTAATAGAAACAATGGAACTAGTTCCCGAGGCATTTAAGAAATGCGAACTTTCTATTTTTAAATTTCAGTTGAAATGCAAAATACTATTGCTTTCTTAATAAACAACAAGAAAAAATAATTAGTTATTAGAACTTCACACATAATCTTGGTTATTCATATTTGCTTTACAGGGTATCTTTGATAAAAGTTGAGTTAATTTACATGTATCCATATGGTGCCAGCAAGCAGTTCATACCATTTTACCTGAATGTGGTAATTACTATGTCAGGCAATCAATTTTAATAGCAATGATATTGCAGTGTGAAGAGTTCATCTAGAGCTTAAAACCATCACCAGTACCGCTTTTGTGAAGGATAATTGAGATTTTGTGTGAAACACTGAATGAATTACCTCTTGAAAATGTAAAGAATAATGAAGATAAAGCACTATTGTTTAATAGTTAGCCCATACTAAGCAAATTTTTTTAAATGAAATTGAATAGGAGTTTTAAGCCTCAAAATTGTTCAGACAGCTTTGAGTGAACCTGAAAGTTGAACTGTGTGTCCTCATAAAGATGAAAAGCTTTTTTACTCTTTCTGGAAAGTTTAGTATCCTCAATCCTTTTCCCAGTTAAGTATTGGATTGTTAAGAACAAAGGTTAATCACTAAATATTGTATGCTAGTGAAAATAAATACAAAAAGATTTTGAGGGGCTCTTCTAGTCACTAGCAGGAGTGATTTGCCACACTTATGTAGTAAATAAATGCACTATAAAATTTTTGTATTTCAGAGATTCATCAGAAGTAGTCATGCATTCAGCTGATGCATTTGCACCTGTGGCTTACCTACGCTTTTTAGAATTGCATTTGGAGGACAAGGCAAGTAAACCTAAGATTCACAGTAATTTCAAGAGACAACTGAGATATGTGCATTGGTTCTGTATATATAATACTGTTATACCAGACAAAAGGGTCAAAACATAACTTATCGTTAGTGATTTTTTTCAGATCCTCAGTCAATAACTAAGAATTTTGCAAATGTTTATAGGTTTAAGAGCTCTATTTGAATCAAAAGATATTATATTTCTCAAGCATTTGTAGTTCAGGTGAATAAGGAATCATATATGTATTAATTAAGGAGACTACAAGACAATATATAACCCAACATTAAATTATCTAGTAAAAGAAGAATTAGGTAATTGTGCATAATTATTGGGAGGAAGGTTTGATGATGAATTGGATTTTTATTATGCAAAGTTTAAGAAGGAGAAACAAAAGTTTTTCCAAAAATATCCAAGGGAACAGAAGGCAAATAAGAGATGGAAAGTGAGGCGAAAGTGTGATAGTTTTATTTTAAATATATTGATTGTCAAGATACAGCATAATGTCAGTTTAAAGATATATTGTAGACTAAATAAAGATCTAGATTAGACCCTTTAATTAAAAGTTCTGCTCTTTGAGATGTAAAGGATTCAAAAAGTCTTCTGCATCTTCAGCCTTCTATTACCAAGTCTTGAGGCACACCCCCAGTTGTATATATCATAGGGAATCTGAAGAATCAAAAGTGTTAATAAAGATTGGCAAAGGAAAGAAAAAAATGGTAACTCCAGAAATGTCAGCATGAGTTTCCAAAAGAAATGAAAAGTTATTGGTGTCATTTCTCCAAAAAAAATTAGGATAGACAAGATTGAAAATAGATAATTGAATTGGGCTAGCTAGAAGATTGGTGACCTTTTACCAAAAAGCTGGTAACCCTTAAGAGAATAAACCTCTACTATCCAAACAACCTTCAGATCCACTGAAAGGAACCCATTCTAGATTTCTTCTACTTTTTTGCCATGAGCACACACAAAATCAAAGCCACTGAATTCTTGTTTAAATATGTTGGCCATTATATGTTTAGATGTACCTAAATAGCTCATTATTCACCTTGTTTTTGTATGTCATTGATCTTCACAGTCCCATTTTTTTCTCTTGCAGAAAAGAATGTTATTTCTTTAAGGTAGGATATTCTCTGACACTAAATGAATATGGTGCATTTCCTTCTTTTTTTTTCAGGTGTCCCCAGTGCCTGACAACTACAGAACATCTAATTACATACATAATTCTTAAAAAGCGTTTTTGAACATTGTTCACTAATCTGCCATTTTTATATTTAAAAAATTATATATCATTTTCTTAATTATTATGTCCAGCTTTTTCTCATTACATTTTTTGATTCTTAGATATACATATATATATATATATTTCTTTATCAGAAAAAGTTAATAGAACTATTGATTAATTGGAGAAATGTGAATACCTTGTTCATTAATACTGTCAATTTACTCAGGATTCACTCTTTCTCTGACTTTTGTTAATACATCCTATGTATGACCTCTGTGATATGTGCCTTTTTTTTCCTTGGCTTTATCTGCATCCCTAATTTTTGTAACATTTCTTTGCTTTAATTACACTGGTTTTTTTTCATCTTTTTCTCTTTCCTGCTCTCATCTCTGCCAATAACATCATGGTGCAGAGGCATTTGACAATGAGGATGAAAAGGCACTCATTATATTTAGCCAGTCAAGTGTATTCTACTGGGTGTCACCAAAGTGCTGTATCACTTTTGTTTTCAGGATATTCATTCAAAACAATAAAATAGACGGTTATTTAGAGCAGTTTCAGCATCACAGCAAAATTGAGCAGAACATGCAGAGAATTCCCATACACCCTTTTCCCCTACACATGCAGTCTCCCTGTAATCACCATCCCCCACCAGAGTGGTACATTTGTTACAATCGATGACCCTATATTGACCCATCATAATCACCCAAAGTTCATAGTTTACATTACGATTCACTCTTGGTGTTTTCTGTACATTGGGCAAATGCATAATGACATGTACCCATCATTATGTTATTACACAGAATATCTTCACTGCCCTAAAAATCTTCCATGCTCCACTTTTTCATTGCTTACCCACCCCCAACCCCAACCCCTGGCAACCACTGATTTTTTTACTGTCTCCGTACTTTTGCCTTTTCTAGTATGTCATATAGGTGGGATAATACCATATGTTGCCATTTTAGATTGGCTTCTTTCACTTAGTAATGTGAGTTTAAGGTTTTTCCATGTCTTCTCATGAGTTTTTAGGTGCTGAATAATATTACATTGCCTGGATGTGACACAGTTTATTTATCCATTCACCTACTAAAAGACATCTTGGTTGCTTCTAAGTTTTTGCAATTATGAATAAAGCTGCTATAAAACATACATGTGTAAGTTTTTGTGTGGATGTAAGTTTTTAACTTTTGGGGGTAAATACCAAGGAGCAAAATTGCTGGATTTTATGGTAAGAATGTGTTTAAGTTTACAAGAAACCACCATCTTCCAAAATTGCTATACCATTTTGCAGTCCCACAGAAATGAATGAGAATTTCTGTTGCTCCATATCCTTGTCAGCATTTAGTTTTATCAGTGTTTTGTTTCACCGTTCTAATAGACATGCAATGGTATCTCTTTATTGTTTTAATTTACATTTCCCTTATGACATATGTGGAGCATCTTTTCATATGCTTATTTGCCATTTCTATATCTTCTCTGATGAGATCACTTGCCAAATTTTTAATCAGTCTCTGTTTTTTTAACTTTTTAATCAATCTCTTTTTTTTTAACTTTTTAATCAATCTCTGTTTTTTTAACTTTTTAATCAATCTCTGTTTTTTAAACTTTTTAATCAATCTCTGTTTTTTAAACTTTTTTTATTGTGTTTAAGAGTTTATTGTGTTTAAGAGTTCTTTTATTGTGTTTAAGAGTTCTTATTTCAGAAAACAGTTTTGTATTAGCTATGTCTTTTGCATATATTTTCTGCCAGTCTATGGCTTGTCTTCTCATTCTTTTGGCAGTGTCTTTCACAGAGAAGTTTTTAATTTTAATGAAGTCTAGTTTATCAGTTATTTCTCTCATGGATCATGGCTTTGGTGTTGTATCTAAACTATCATTGCCAAACCCAAGGTCATTTAGATTTTCTCCTATGGTATCACCTAAATATTTTATAGTTTTACATTTACATTTGTGTCTATGATCCATTTTGAGTCAATTTTTGTAAAGGGGCATAAGGTCTGTATCCAGATTCTTTTTTTAAATATGTGGATATCTAGTGGTTCTAGCATCATTTATTGAAAAAAACTCTTTTTTTTATTATATTGCCTTACTCCTTTATCAAAGATTGGGTGACTGTGTTTGTGTGGACCAATTTCAGGGTTCTTATTATGTTCCATTGATCTATTATTTGTCTGTCTTTTCACCAATATGTCTTAAAGTCAGGTAATGTTAGTCTTCTAACTTTGTTCTTCTGAGATTTTGATTGGGATCATATTGAATGTATAGATCAAGTTGGAAAGAACTGACATCTTTAGTCTTCCTACCCGTGATCATGGAATATCTCTCCGTTTATTTGGTTCTTGTTTGATTTCTTTCATCAGAGTTTTGCTTGGACATCTTTTTTATTTTTATCGTTACAAGTTAACATATTTAGTGTTTCCTCTGTTAGTACTTATATTTTTTGCAAATACAGGCTTTAAGGTGGCATTATTAGAGTAGATCTGGAGAGAAATAGTAAGAGTTTTAATCCCAGAATTCCTATTGCATCATATTGGCTTGAGTAAAGCTTTGGCCAAGTCACCAGCTTCATTCCTGAGCCCGCCCAGATAGTAGAGAAGGAGATTCTCTAGAGGGAAAATAAAGTATAATCAACAAAAGAAAGAGAAATAAATGCTAGAGGGCAAAAAGAACAGATACTGTTCCACATCTTTTATCAAAATCACATTCGTCATTTCAAACTCATATTAACAAATTAACACTCTACCCCAAATAATAGTGAGGCCTTGAATACCACTCTGAAAATCTGTTTCTTAAATTTCTTTAGTTTCCATTCACTCTATGATGCATTTGCTATCTAGCTTGATCTCGGTTACTTTGATGAACTGCTGCTATTGGTCTCTTCTCAGTCTTCATAAGACTTAATTTTTTTCCTTAATATTGTTGGCCACCGTCTCTTTGAAAATTTCCTCTATAATGGTTATATATCATTGCACTATTCTGGCTATACCTTCTCTCTCAAGATTTCTTTTATCTCCTTGAGTACCTTCTCTGCTTCTTACCTTCAAAATGTATATATGCCTCAGTTTATTTATTTATTATTATTATTTTTTTATGGCTCCATTTTTTTTAAAAATATTTTCTCTTTCTGGGATTTTATCTTTTTCCACAAGCTTACTTTTTCACTTCTGTGCAGATGATTCTCAAGTCACTCTTTTTCTTATCTTTCTACTAATATCTACTTTTCCTCCTTAACTGTAGATCCATCCTTATTTCTGACTAGCTACTGGACATGATTGCCAATATGTATCAAACTCATTATGTATGAACTTCGAACGCATTCTCTACTCCAAGTATACTTTTTCTCTATTTTTTTAACACAACTGTTTTTCCCCTAGAAATTCAGGCACCGAATACTGGCAACGTCTCTTATAGCTATCTTTCCTTTACCATAAACTTTCACTTGGTTATCTAATCCTATATATGTTAGTTCTAATATATGGTTACACCATTCCATTTCAATGCCCATCTTTCTAGTTAAAATTTTATCTGACCAAACCTTAGACAAGATGGAACTGCTTTAAGTATACCCCTTGGTTTTATTCTCTCATATTTTATTCCAGTGTCATATTTATTTTCCTTTCTAGTTTTTGTTTCTCTACACAAAAATTCATAATAGTGAATAAGGAATTGTTTTCTAAGTAAACAAATTTTTTAGCCATGAATTGAGGAAAGTCTGACATGTTGCTATAATATCCTTTTTCACTCTCACTCCCAGGACTCCCCTACATGTGTCCTTTGCTCCAGGTATATAGAATCATTGGATACCCTCCTACTATGCCTTCTGCTTCTGTCTTCCCTTTCCTTTGCTTATCTATCTTTGTTTCTTTCATATTTTAAAAACTGTTTACATCCTACTCATGATGCAAGACTGCGTTCAAATATTCATGTACAGTTAGCCACACCAGCTAAACTGTCCTAACACTGTTTCTTCCTTCTTGTGACAACTTAATCAGCTTTATGTTATAGTTATTTAAGGACTTATTATGTCTACTAGGTTATAAATTTCTTGAGGAACTGTTATTTTTTCATCTTCATGCCCTCTATAACAACTGTTCATTCTACAATAAGAATTTTTTAATTTAACTTGTTTGTTATTTTCCTACTTCATTTTTTTGTTCTTACATAATTTTATAGACATGTGCTTCCATTTTATCTTGCATGCCATTTAATGAAAGTCACTTTATTCTTTATATTTCTTTTATCTTGTTGTTAGAGAAAAATGCCCCCAAGCACACTAAAATGTAAAATACAACCTTTAGAGAGGTCGTTAGTGTAAAATTTAAATTATCACTAAGATTTTCACTTTATATATGATGACCCTTAAACTTTCTTATTGAATAATTAATCTATTTAAAATTTACCTTCACACTAAAATTTAAATTATTTATGTTAGCGTAAAAAGCATATCAACTAAACATGGGATCCCAAACAAAATAACTGAATAATGGAAACCTCCAGGTTAAAAATGGGAAAATATATTAAAATTTCTTTTCAGGCCCTGACTTTATTGCTTATGGCAAACTTGATGCTAAAATGTACTATACATCACTACAGTGACAGGCTTGAGAAAATGAAAAATACAAAGCTTTACATAAATCAGCCAAAAGATCATATTAAAATGCATAACCTTTACAGAAGAATCAAGACTTTTACTTAACTATTCAGAAACTCTTTCTTCCTTATGTAGTAGTTTTAGATTTTCCAAACAGCTTTATGGGAAATAATATTTCAAATTAATTACTGGCAAAGCCATTGCATTTATAAAGAGACATGTTTCACAGAAATTTAGCCCCAATTTTACTAATATACCGTATTATCACAGCATTTTATTTTGTTTTTTGTTGAAATAATCCCATGGGACAATTATATATGTTATATAATTATAAAAGGCTCACATTTCTAGAAGTTGCCACTTTTAAAGTGATCATAATCTCATAGCATTCTTGGCTCTTTCATTTTGTTTTATTTCAGAAATATCAAATTTTTAAAAATTATAACCTTAAACCAAATTATAGTGTAATTCTAATTATAACTTTAAATTGAAGACATTAAAGGTAATTATTATTCCCAGCATTATGATTATAGTGACAGATATCACTAGAATGGCAACTCTGAAGTTATGGCTACAATGTTATTCAAGGTGAAGAGTTATATGTAAGATATGATCCTGTTTTTCTAAAAAATAATGGTGGAGACAGAGCTTATATATTTATTTATATTTGAATGAGGAGAGTAAGAGATAGGTATATAATAATCGTACTGAATATTGTTTTCTTTGGAAGAAGGGAGCATGAAGGGGGAAAACAGGGAAGCTACATTTTTTATATATCTATAATTTATAACTTCTTACAATAAGCATATATTTTTAAATTTAAAAATATTCAATTAAGAAAATTAACTGATGTGATGAGGTTGGTATAATGAGTTTCTGTGCTAAATAAATATTTAAATGTTATTCTACAACATTTAAGTAATCTAAGTAGAAAGAGACATATTAGAGCCCTTTAAAA